CCTAAATACGACATATGGGCTTGGGGTGAAAAAAAAAATTTTTTTATTTCTGCTTTTCTGGGGCAAGTGAGGGGCGCAGTGGCATTAGGCGGGCCAGAAAATACAGATTCGACGTTCACCCGGCGGAAAAATTCGATTTTGGCGAAAGTCGACTTTCCCCCCGAAAAAAGCCTAAATATGGCACTTTGGCTTCGGGTGAAAAAAAAATTTTTTTATTTCTGCATTTCTTGGGCAAATGAGGGGCGCAGTGAAATGTAATCGAAACTAACTTTCATTTTTGAGGCCTTGCAGAGGCTCGAATAAGCCTTGACGTATTGAGCCTCAATACTCAAAGCCTGGACTAGGCCTGAATTGAACCTCGGCAATGGCCCCTTGAATCGCCCTCATTTTAGGCTCGAGTGAACGATGAAATCAAGTCACTGACCCTCGCCAAACCTAGGCTCGCACAGGCTTGTTTCCATTGTCAGCCTACATAATTCCTGCCTGGGAAGGTATTTCTTCATCGAAAATTCCCAATTCAATAAGAAAGTCGAGGAAAATTAAATTTTAATTCAATCACTCCATGAAAATGGCTAGAAATCTAAAAAGTCCAGTAGATATTTTATTCAATTAAAAAAAAATAAAGTACCTCACGGAAGAGGAGTTTCCATAACTTTTTCCCCACCTCCAATTGAATTGTCCAATCAGAAGAAATAAAAATTACCCCTTTATCCCCCCACCCTTTGTTTGTATTTCTCTCCCCCTTTCGCCTGAAAACCGAGGTAATCTGATTCTGTATTCCCAATTGATTTACGTGACAGTCCAACGAAGCGAAATTCCCGTCGATCCAGCGTACCCCAGCGAGCTAACTCGGCATACCACAAAATCCTCCAGAAATTTACATTTCCAATTTTTCTTCATTCCCTTTTGCCCCGGAAAGTTTGTAGACAATGCAGCAACAAACAAAAATAAAGAGCAACAAAAACGAGCGACAAAAACGATGAGAGAAAGTGGAATGAAATCTGGCAAGAGAGTGAGTAAATCAATGAAACACCATTGCAATGTCTTTTCACCGGAACATCCGGTTGTTCTCGCATGATATCCGGTTGACGTAGTAGAACATAAGTTCATACATCAAACCGTGAGTGCACCAAATGTGCTTGTGCTTTTAGCACCATTTTCCGGTCATTGTTTCAGGGATTTGTTTTTTCTAAACTTTTCGAGGGAAAAAAGAATATTTTCTTTTCGATTTTTCAAGCTCAGCGGGGTCTTACGAACGAGTGACTTCCGTCTGGAAAAAGGAAAACATCTTGTTACTGTGCTTAAGAGCACGGAAACAAGAAACTGGGAGGAAAGTTTAAGGGAAAAATAAAAAAAGTCGTCAGGGGCGGGAGCGAGGGGATTATAAATAACGAGATTGTCAAGTCAAGTTGGAGAACAGGGGAAAAATGATGTTCGTACATTTAGCCTGATTGAATGTCAACGATCAGATGTTAACGATCTTCGAGCCCCGGGAAATTGCGATAAAATGGGGATGCTGGGTAATGGGGGGTCTGGGGTGTCGGGATTGATAGTTTGTAGGGCGATTGGAGGAGGCCCGGAAAATGTAAATAGGAGGGAGAAAAATACAGACCTTTGGCGAACGGTGCGAGGAGAACGAGATTGACTAGTGCTGCGCCAGTGTCGTGACCCATCAGTGTCACCCTCGTTGAATCACCACCGAATGCCCCTATGTTCTCTCGCACCCAGCGGAGGCCCATCGCTATGTCCCTCAGAGCCAAATTGCCACCGGACTCGGCACTAGTGTCTGGCACCGCTCGAGTTCTCAGGAAACCTGGATACATTTTTTTTTATTTTTGCATTCAAAGAGATAATTCAGTAATTTATTTTCGGTTTATTTAACGGATTTAAAGCCTGAGGTTTACTGTACTATTTCTAATTTTTTGAATAAATTGACAATTGACAAATTTGAGAAATTGAATAATAAAGAGTTTGCAATTTTTCTGAGGGTTTTTTAAATTATTAAAACGTTCAATAAGAACTATTTTATTGAAATTTTTGTATTCTCTTTTCCTTTGAAAAAAATAGAAATTTTAAGCCAGAGAATATTTTCCATTGTTATTAAAAAAAACGTTTTAAAAATAAACTTCATCAAAACGAAATAGATGGCTTTATTTCACCGAATCCTAGTGAACTTTTATAACTTGATTTGTACTCGCCGTTTGATCCGCAAAACACAAAGAGCTTTTGGAATACAAACAAGTCTTTCAGAATTCAAACAAACGACTATTTTACAACAAAAATACTATTGGAATGAAGATAACCCCCTCAAATAAAGAGTTGATCGATTTGTTCTTTGATTCACGCCGTATTTTTCGTAAATTCAATAAATTATCTCACAATTCTCACCCAAAATTCCCAGTCTGTAATTAATTGTGATGACGATAACATGTCCAGCACTGGCAAGTACCGAGCCATCGTAAACATTTCCAGTTCCCCATTCAAAGCTCTCACCATGTACATAAACAATAACAGCGTAAGGTGCCTCTAGTCCCCTGGAGCCTGTAAAATTCACCGTAAAAAGAGAATGAAAGAATGAAAGACATGGAAGTGACGATTAATTTCATAGCACCAGTGTTCTCCACTTCTCTTAATCCCTCGGTATTCACTCCTTGGATATATCTACAAGCCTGCAGTTTTCCTAGTTGGAACTTTGCTCGTTATTTATATAGATCTCCCCGAGGGAGTTCCGAAACGAGCTAACTCGGCGACCGCCGTCGGTTAATTAATCGTCTGCCCCCGTGAGTCAAGGTGTCAGATTCACCGCTCGTGATATTCACTAGTCTCCTCTCAGCCCCTCTTTCACTCTTACGCTATTTCCTCCTCTTCATGCTCACCACCTCCCCCTCCCCGCGGCTCCTTGTCTCATGGCAGTGCTATTATATCTCTGGAATCTTTTCCGGAATTAGTGGAAATGAGTTTCTTTGAATAGAACGTTTGAGCGGAGAATCGTTTTAGTCTTTTCTCTAATTCCTGCATCCTTGAGTCGTTTGATCCTTCGGGGGGTGAATGCTTCCGAGCGAGGGGTGGAAACAATTTCATTGTTGAGGATTTCAATGAGCTTGGGTAATTGAAAATGATTAATGTCCGGGAAATGCAGGGAATGCAGTGTTCAATTTGTGATGGAATGCGATTGATATTAATAGTTTTCATATTACGATTTCGGTTTGGGGTTTAGAGGTACTTTGAAGGTGCAATTTGATGTTTTTAATTTTAGGCATTTTGAAAATTTGAGAGAATTACGAATCTCATTGTAATATTCAACTGAATTTGTGACATTTTAATGATTTCAGCGAGTTTATTCATTTTAAAATTGAAATTAGATGTTATTCATTTCATTCATTTTGAAAATTTGCGACAATTACATATCTCATTAATTTTAATTGCCAATAAATTGAAAATTTCAGGAATAGTCAATTGAAGTTGCAACATTTCAAAGCATTTCCATCATAACATTAAATTGTAATTTACATTTTTATTGATTTTACGAGAAAATATTTCATTTTAATAGGAAAATAAGAGATGCAGATGGCAATTTGAAAAAAAATGAAAAAGTAGAATTATGAATCATTAAAACATTCCAAAAAATCCCCCGTCTCCATAATTGTTCGAAGAACTGACTGGGACACGAACTTTTGACTATTCAATTGCATTCTATGGTAGAGTTCTTTACTGAAAGAGCTTTCGTCTGGCTTATCCAGTTATTATGGCATTTCTCAGTGCAAGCTTGATATCTAGACGGTGGCCTCATCCTAGTGCCAGAGCGCCGGAGTGAAGATTGTCTACAGGAGGCGAATGAAACTCACCGGTGCAATCTCCCCAACTGTGAGACAATATTCAGGTTCTCTCTTCCCACATTTTTTTCCTCTCTTTCTCAACATCAATTCAGCCCTCCCCTCGTGCCCTACATCGCCGTCTCGATTGCTGGGAAATCCCAGGAACGAGTATTTGTGAGAGACTCTACGCCCGTGGATTTTCAATGTTTCTGGGGGACTATTTCTTTGCGGCAATTGGAGAAATGGGGGAATTGTCATCATTTAATTACATTTCAATTCAGAAAAAAAAATTTTTTTTAGGAAAAATTGGGAAAAGGACTTTTTAGAATATTTTAATGTAAAAAGTGAATACATTTTTCATCTTCTGTATGACTTATTCCATTGAGATATTATCTCCAGAAATTTTTTCAGCAAAATTTTTTTCCACTGCATTTTTTTTTCATTTTTTATTCAAAATTTGAAATTCCCTTCAAATACGGAAAAATCCTCCGGTTTCAGAGTGAAGTATTTTTAATGGGAATTATATTTTTCATTCAATATCACTCTGTCATACAGATTTTTTTTTACATTTTATTTTCACTTTTTCATTTTTTTTCGTTTTTTTAAATTCTTTTACTTACCACTTCCCGGTATGTACAAATTCAGAGTGAGACAATCCTCGCTCTGATTCCCCAGGAACGTGATCATCCTCTGTATTTGTATGTATCTCCCAAGTGGCATTTTCTCGAGCGCAGCCGTGCGATTGCTGATATCCGGGAGCTTTTGAGGGCAAACAGGGCCGAAACTGTCAGCGAGCCTGACACCCGACCACGGTGACGGGGGTGACGGCGGCCTCAGTCGTAAATCACCTAGTGGTGGTGCTGCGTAAGGTATACCACGAAACACCTCCACTGGATCGAGTCTCGTGTTCAATTCCTTGAACATAAAAATTAAAATAAAATAAAATCTCTTACTTCACAATAAAAACGAAAAATCGCTCTGAAAAAAATTCACGAAAAGATTCATAACTTTTCATTTATTTCTTCAATTAAATTTCGGTGAAAAGAGGTGAATGGAATTGAAATCCGGTTCGGTTTAAAAAATGTCCCTTCACAATAGGTCCCAGGAATCCCAAAAATCCGAGCAAACAGCCAAAAAATTCGTGCCCCCGTGCTATTGTGGAACCGAAATAAAACAGACATTAAACCCGGAAAAAATCATAAAACAGTTTTGAGATGAAATGGCAATTTCTGTATTGACGAGCCAAGAGCGGGAGATGGTACACGAGAGTGCTATTGACGTTGACCGAAAGCGCGAGAAAAGAGGGGTAAAAAAATGGCGCGAGCGTTAACGCTTTGACGCGTGGAAAATGTTCAGGAAATGCCTTTTTCCTGCATCAACTTTTCTCTTTTTACCCCTCTCCTATTTCGAGCCACTGGCTCACGGTGGCTCTGAGGATATTAAAAATTAACGGGTTGTCGTTTTGCCACTCACGTACCACCCAATATACCCAAATGACCGACTAAAAAACTACCCACCACAAATTGATTCACGTATTTTACTAATTCATCTCGTAAAAGGCGAATAAAAAAACGGAAATTCTATTCTACTGTGAAATTCTAAAATTGCAAAAAATTAACTTTTCACCCTTCTACTACCCAATTATTCAGTTATAAACAACGACTGTTTAAAAAAATAATAATTTTATAGAGTGATCTGTGTACAAAACTTCAAACGATGCTTGGATACCCTTAATGAATAATGTCATTCACAAAAAACGAAATAATTTACTACAAGAATATACTTTATATCCCCCGAAAACCAGATTTCACTCGAACAGAGAAGAATTACCGTCACGTTCCACTCTCCCTTGATTTTGAAATAAATTCTATGGACGTTGTGGGCGAGGGACCGGGGGCGGGAGCTAGGAGGCGAGGGACAGGTGAACGTTGCGCCTCAGATTATAATAATTCCTGGCACTCCCGAAGGCGACGCACGTCTGGTCATTGTGCCCGGAGTACACAGAGAGCAAAAGAGCTCTTTTCCCCATTTCCCAGGAGAACTTCCTACTTTCTTCATTCTTTCCTCTATACCTCAATGTTCCCTTCTGCCAATACCCGATGATTGCCAATCGAATTAACCCATTTCCCCCCCCCCCTTCCCCTTTCTCTTCCCTTTTCTTCCTATCCATTTTCAATTCTATTACACCACCGGATATTTACAAAAATGGATTTGATCCTTATGAGGGAAATGCGGGGATTTCAAGAGGGTTTTACTCCTGAAATCTCTGCAATCGTCGAAATTAGGGCTAATTTCACAGAGAATTCAGGGGAATTCAAGAATATATTCACTTGAGTTGAACGAACATTTTCAGTTTCCATTGATTTTTCCATGAAAATGTGAATTTTTTAATGAAGAAATTCCTTGAAAGTCTAGTGGAACTAAAATACGCTCGCCAACCCGCATATGACCCACATGATCCTTATTCTGAACCTCGTAACCCTCATTCTAACCCTCAAGACCCTTAATTTCGACCACCAATTTTTTATCACCGCAAGTCGATTTGGATTTTTATAATACAAAGGGATGACAATTCTCAACAAGTGTCCCTCAAATTTCCAGCAAAATTCTTCAACATCATAAAAAATAGGTAAATTAATTCAAATTTCCTCTTCATCGTCCGCAAAATTCCAGCATTCACCCCCTAAATCTTGCAAGCCGCCGTTAATTACCTGCAAAATGCCTCGTATCTGGCCACTCTTCGTCTCCACTATTCTGGATGCGTACCGAGGTCCAGCATTGACCCCCCAGACAGCAGTGGCAATTAAAACGACTAATATTCTCCTTACGTCGGTGTAACTCCTGCTCGTGCTCAGCATTGGTACCAGCAGCCACGTCCAGGCTGCCGGCTGGCATCGTCCAAGCATTGCAGCATTTGTTGGCAACCAAAAACGCCACCACCATGCCCTGTACACCCACCAACCGGCCCCCCGGCCCCACAACAACTTCCCACAGAATCAACAAATTCACGAGTACTGTCTCCCTATTTTCAATCTCAGCCACAAATGTCGGAAACTTTCACCCTTAAACAACTCTAAACTTGAGTTTTACTCTCGCCTTCAGCGACTAATTGCCGAAAACTTTGTAACGTGATATGCAAACGCGACATTACTGACGTCATGGGAATTAGTAACTCCAGTGTGTGCACCAGAGCTTCTCGGTGTCGTCAGCATCTTACGGACTTGTGAATTACAGGCTGACTACACTAGGAAGTCAGCTCAACTTATTATGGCACTTGGTGCAGCATCAATCCGTCCATGACGTCGATCTGAAATCAGAAATCATTTGTTTCCGGTTAAAAAGGGCAATTTAATATTATTGATTTTTTTTTTGTAAAAATCTTTGTCTTTGAAAATTTATGTGCAAGGATTCCCACAGAAAAATGGGGAGACGTTTCTCACACTTCGAATTAAAGACCGGAACAGAAATGAAAGAGGAAATCAAGATCTACTGAATTTTATGAAATGCAAAATTGCATAATTTTAGTTTCAAAGATATTCTATTTATTTAATCCGGGGAAGTCTGAGCTTTTCCTGTTAAACTGTTCCATTGCTCATCCCCGAAGATGAATAAGACAACCCATCCCAGTGGAATTAATTATGCAGGAAAATCAACGTCTGTTGAATCTTATGAGATACGAAATTACATAATTATAGTTTCAACAAAAATTCAATTTATTTTCTTAGAGAAAGCGTTAAATTTTTCTGTTAATTTGTTTCATACGTTCAAAGCGAGAAATTAAAAGAACTCATCCCAGATGAACGAACCAACTCATCTCAGCGGAATTAATTCAATAGAAAAGCAACATCTGTTGAATTTTATTCCATGCAAAATTACATAATTCTAATTTCAACAGCCATTCAATTTATTTAATCAGAGAAAGCGTTGGATTTTTCTGTTAAACTATTCCATACGTTCAAAGCAGGCAAATACCCTCTTGTTACTCACATCATGCTGGAAAATTCAACAGTAGAGCTTTTCATTTGAATACCCCTCTCATTTTCGTTCTTTTAATAAGAACAAACCGCCTAAAAACTGACGAATATTCTCCGCCACTCCTCACCCTCCGAATTAAAATACGAATAAACCTCATTCCCAGAAAAAAATTCACAATTATGATCACAATTTCAGCTGCAATTAAAACCTCAGTCACAGCGTCCAATTCTCCCTCGCGAGTTCTGTTTTATTTACCTCAAAAGTTCTATAATTTTTTCCTCCGCAATGCCACAGGAGAATTTTTGTCAGCGGGATCTCTCCGGGAATGAGGTAAGTAGCTCTCTGGGGCCAATATCATCGTACATTACTTTATTAACCACGGTAAAATGTACTGAAGTTTACTGGCGCCTTGGATACGCCACCTTGGGGCATACACCACCGAAAACCCTATTTCATTGACAAAGTGCTGCGGAAAATAGTGGTGGTGCCCCGGACGTACATGAATACTGGGGAATGAAGGAGTATCACGTGCCAAGAAAATGTTGAAGTATCTGTGTGCATGCATTACGACACGACCCGGGGACTTCCGCAGTTGGCGACAGCACAAATTAATGTCAATGGGATCACAGGCTCTCGCTCTCACTCAGAAATTTCGGGAAGAAGTGACTGTTCTCCGCTGAAATCGCGCGAAACTTTTTAACTGAGTTTTTTGAAAATTACGGACGGGGAAAATCACGACACCAGATCTTCAAAGGAAACTCAGCTTCGTTTCATTATGAATTTTGGAATTTGCGATGAGGGGAATAATAATTTCCGGAATTTTATTGAATTGACAAGGAAAATTTGAAGTTTAGGGTGAAATTCCGTCACAAATTTCATTTTTAGAAAAAATAACGTCCGCTCAATTTTTACTGAGTAATTGTCACTGATTTTAAAAAAGTTTACCGTAGGTTAATGACAGTTCCTTATATTTTTATTTAAATTTGAAAATAATTTTTAATTTTTAAGTATAATTAAACAATTGATTCTAAATATCGGAATTTGATTTTTCAATTAATCAAATGATCATCGTTCTTGCGAAGTTGCGTAGTGATTTATAAAATATTTGGAAAATTGAAAACGTTAATTAATAATTAATATAATAAAAATTATCATAAAAATCGTCCAATTTTCACTAGAAAAATTATCCACGTAAAAATTTAATTATCGCGATAGCCACCCGTGTTAGCGGAATTCTCAAATCGCTTGCCAACACCTCGAACATTTCCAACTGCCTTCAACAGCTTCACTCACCCTGATTACCTCCCCCCCAATAATAACAACCCCCGATAGATACCTAATTAATTAACTCAAAGAGACAAAAACTCGCTCAGAACGTTTTCCCCATTTCCTTCATTATTTCCCTCATTATTATTTTATTTGTTAATGAACCTGGCGATAACGCTGCAACAATGAAACCCCCGGGTATCGCCGGTACAACTTTATATAATTAAAAGTTGTTCCATAGCTCAAAATAAAAGAGCTCAGCCCCGATAATTCATTTCCCCGTCTGGCGAATCTTTTGAACCCCTCCCAGTACCAATATTTAATTAACCCCTCGAAGGGGGTGATTTACACCGTTTTAAGTACAAATTAAGTGCGAAAAAATTTCCTTTAAAAATATTTGGAATTTTATAGAAATTGCTATTCCATTTCTTTTAGTTTTGAGCCGATTTTTTTTTCGATAGAAATGGTCAATCGAAAATATTTGACAGAAAAATCAAGAGAATTCTAGAGAAATTCCTCAGCTGGAATTTTCTTAGTTTCTTTGCGGTATTTTTTAATGGAAAAAAAATTAAATAATAAAAAATCATGTCCATTCTATTTCTATTGAACTTAAAATATTCTGTAGAAAAAACCCATAGAATTCTATATAAATTTCTAGGCTGCGATTGTCCCATTTCTTTTGTGTAATTATTTTCGTGAGAAAAAAAAATCAAATGAAAAAAAATTTTTAATTAAAAAAAAAAGAAATTTTACTGATTGTTCTGATTAAATAATTTCGGTTGGACATTTGCTATAAAACAGGCGCAGTGGAAACTAATAGAATTCTCAATAGAAGTTCACCAGAAATTCAATAGAATTTTCTATCGAATTCGCTAGATTTTTCTACTAAATTTATTCGTACGAGAAAAAATTATCGGATAAAATTTCGAAAGAAAAATCCCACGAGAAAAAAATTAATTAGCCAGACAGTCAGCTTTGGGCTCTGGGCATCAATTGAAACTTTCATCGGGTTTGCTTCCATTATTGTAATAATACAAAACCGTCGATTGTTTCGATTTTCCGTGAAAACTCGTGCAAACTTGGCTGAAATCACGATAGGTTATTTGAGAAGTTTAAAATTGCATTCGTCTGCGCGGGCGTCGGTCGATATACAGTGCGATACGTCAAGTGGGCGGTGGTGGGGATGAGACGCGTCGGTTGAGGAGAACAGTGGGGCGCAGGCGCAGAGACCATTGCCCCTGTGCATTCGATTCGTAGCCGCCTTCGTGTTAGTCCAGTCTGGCTGTTTCGTGGAGATTTACGCTTGTCGAGAGTGGACTACCGAAAAAAAGGGGAGAAAAGGAAGATTTTCGAGTGGGTGAGTCTGAAAAAAGTCTGGTAAAACATTTTGTAGCACTTAGAAACCCCCGAAACCGAGGCGTAAACACTCTCTTCTGGATTTTTACAATGTCAATTATGGGAACATAACCTACACGTGCTGTGTTACACTGACGTGTAGTTTGACATGATGAGGTTGTGGGTGAATTTATCCTAGAACATTTCGTCCCAAAAATTTACAGAGATTGAAGTTTTCGTGAAATATCAGTAGAATTCTGATGCGGCTTCAACAGAATTCTAATTTTTTCCCTATTTAATTAATTCGCTTATGAATTATCAAATAAATATTTTAATACATATTTTTTACGAAAAAATCACAATTGGTGAAGTCGACGTTCTACTCATCGACTCCTTTCCTTAATTTTTACGAATTGGAAAAGAGTAAATTACAAAGGAAAAATAATAACTCTTCATTTTTTTTTTAATTTGAAGCATGCAAAATTTTTACCTGGCGTGTAGGTAAATTTATCCCAAAAAAATTCGTTCAAAAATCCACACATAAAATTTTTCCCACTACCGAATACACAATTACAGAATTCTGATTATTATTTACAGAATTCTGATAAGACTTCAACAGAATTCCAATTTTTTTTCATTAAATTTTTTCACTTATGAATTATTAAATAGATATTGCAATACATCATTTTTGCGAACTGAAGAAGAGTAAATTACAACGGAAAGATAATAACTCTTCATTTTTTTAATCGAAGCTTTCAAAATTTTCACCTGACGTTTAGGTGAATTTACCTCGAAAAATTTCGCCCCAAAAATTCACACAGATATAATTTTTCATAAGATATCATGAAAATTCTAATAGGACTTTAACAAAATGGCGATTTTCGGTCTATTAATTTTTTTCACGGGCGAATTATTAAATAAATATTTCAATACACCATTTTTACGCAGACAAAACTCAATGAAGCCAACATTTCACTCATCGACTCCCTTTCATAATTTTTACTAACTGAAGGAGACTAAATTACAAAGAAAAAATAACAATTCTTCATTTTTGTATTTTGAAGGATTCTAAATTTTCCCCTGACGTGTGCATGAATTTATTTTTAAAAAATCGTCCCAAAAATTCACACCGATTGAATTTTTGAAAAATATCAATAGAATTTTAATAGAAATTCAACAGAATTTCAATTTTTTGTTCTATTTAATTTTTCACTTCTGAATTATTAAATAAATATTCCTAAATTTTGACATTACCACATCAATACGTTACTGTTACGAAGAGAAACTAATGAAGGCGATATTCCACTGATCGACTCATTTCTTTGGATCACAAAGAAAAGATAAAACTCCTAATTTTCTTAATTTGAAGGATTCAACCGTTTCCTGTCGTGTAGTTGAATTTATTCTTTAAAAATCGTCCCAAAAATGCACGCAGATATATTTTTTAGTAACACACCAACAGAATTCTGATCGGGATTCACCAAAATTCCAATTTTTCTTCTATTCAATTTTTTCATGCGTGAATCACCGAATAAACACTTCCAAATTTTGACATTACCACATCACCACATCATTTTAACGAAGAAGACACAATTAACAAAAACAACACTCCACGCCTCGTCTCCCTCCTGAATTCTCCCGAATTGATCCCAAGAAAACGACGAAGACATTCCAAAGTTATTCATCAACCCCTCATCTATGAAACCAATTGACGTATTCAATCCAGAGGAGTTCAGTCAAACCAAGAAGCAAGAGAGTCTCCCTCCAAATCTCCCCAAAAAGTGGTGAGTTCAAAAGGAAAACCTATAAATTCTTCCAGATAACTCCCCCATTAAAGATGTCGACCTCAGCGGTGTACATTCTGGACGTAAAAGGAAAAGTCCTGATATCCAGAAACTACCGAGGTGACATAGAAACCGGTGTAATAGAGAAGTTCATGCCCCTCGTGATGGAGCGCGAGGAGGAAGGCAACTTGACCCCAATAATACAGATACCCGAGTGCACTTACGCATACATAAAATACAACAATCTTTACATAGTGTCGACAACAAAGAAGAATGCGAATATATCCCTGGTATTTGTATTCCTCCACAAAGTAGTTCAGGTGATGCAGGAGTACTTTAAGGAGCTCGAGGAGGAGAGTATACGCGACAATTTCGTCGTTATTTACGAGCTGTTGGACGAACTGCTGGACTTTGGTTACCCCCAGACGACAGACAGCAAGATTCTGCAGGAATACATAACCCAAGAGGGTCACAAGCTGGAGATACAGCCGAGAATACCGATGGCTGTGACGAACGCAGTGTCGTGGAGGTCTGAGGGCATAAAGTATCGAAAGAACGAAGTATTTCTCGATGTTATAGAGTCGGTTAATCTGCTGGCAAATGCAAACGGCAATGTTCTCTCTTCGGAGATTGTCGGGGCGATTAAAATGCGCGTCTATCTCTCGGGCATGCCTGAGCTTCGATTGGGCCTGAATGACAAGGTATTGTTCGAGTCAACCGGTCGGGGTAAATCGAAATCCGTTGAACTTGAGGATGTAAAGTTCCACCAGTGCGTCAGACTGTCGAGATTCGAGAACGACCGAACGATATCTTTCATTCCACCTGATGGTGAATTCGAATTAATGTCTTATCGTTTGAATACACATGTCAAGCCCCTCATATGGATCGAATCTGTCATCGAGCGTCATGCACACAGTCGCGTTGAGTACATGATCAAAGCGAGATCACAATTCAAGAGACGATCGACAGCTAATAACGTTGAAATTGTTATTCCTGTGCCGAATGATGCTGATTCACCAAAGTTTAAGACGACTATTGGGAGTGTTAGGTATTCGCCTGAGCAGAGTGCTATCACTTGGTCCATAAAATCATTTCCGGGGGGCAAGGAGTATCTCATGAGGGCACACTTTGGCTTACCTTCGGTTGTTGGGGAGGATGTGGAGGGTAAACCACCGATTCAAGTCAAATTTGAGATTCCTTATTTCACGACTTCGGGGATACAAGTCAGGTATTTGAAGATTATTGAGAAGAGCGGGTATCAGGCACTGCCTTGGGTGAGATACATCACTCAGAATGGGGATTATCAGTTGAGGACTAATTAGTTTGGCTTTCGGAAGATTTTACTTTCGTCGAATGTCAGAGGAGATCCAAGTTTGTAATTTAATGCTGGTGTATTTTATTGGTTCGTAGTATCAAATTTGTTTTAGAATTATGTAGGAAGTTTGTTTTACGACTGGAAATGTCAATTTGCGACAAAAAATGTGAGGTGTTTTCAAGATGTTTGTGCAATTAATGAAACAATTTCATGAACTGAAGATATTCGTGATGGGAATAAAATATCTTCAGGAAGTCAATGTACAAGATTTTTATAACATTCCTTCAGAAATTGATAAATCGATCGATACGTCTCGACGACTGATACTGCGAGGAGAAATAATTTGGCCCGCTGTTGTTGATTCGAGGTTTTTGGATAAATTTTTAAAAAACTTTTTATTCTATTAACTATTCTACCCGCTTCGCAAAGCCTCGCTCTGCAACAGCATGGATGCTGTTCTGTAGTGATACTAATTTGATTATTGATAACTAGACCAACGCCTGAGTACTTAAAATGGAATTGCAGCTGGAGGATGGGGGGATGGATTAATGCGCGTATAGTTGTGTAGTTCGACTCATTTATTAGGCCGAAATATCTGAGTAATTGAGGAAATGTAACCACTATGTAAATTACTGCAGGAATATACTGATTAATTTTTAAATAAACCAATTGAGCTGAAAGTCTCTCATCATTTCCCTTGCCGACACCACGGCCGCACTTCGTATTTTATGCTTTTCATCTCGTCATTGGAGCTCAATAATGCACGCGTATCGCTCAGTTCGAAAATTGAAATTGGAGAATGTCACGGGTGCATCATTCAGCAGACTTTTATGACGTGAATTGAAAAGCATCTCAATTTTTTTTGCTGTGAAATTTTGCACTTGGTTGAGACTTAAAAATTTTTCACTGGAATTTCAAGGAATTTTTTTTTTTGAAAATTCAAAATTTACTGAAAACTGTAAATTTTAGTAAATTATTTCATAAAAATTAATAGAAATGGAGAATATTCTGGGCAATATATTCTTGAAATATTAATTAATTGAAAATTCAGAGTAATTTTCCCCTGAGTGTTTATTTTTTTTATTAAATATTCAAGTAAATTGACGAATTATCATCTTTCTGTTGTTTAAAATTGCGAAATTTCAAGTTTTCAATTTTTTTTTCTATCAGTAAATAACATTTTTTAATGACTCAATTTAATGAAAAACTATCGCAATCGCGTAAACGTCCATTTTCGCTCTTGAAACTATAAAAAACGTGTCATTGCAACCAACACTAAAAAAAATTCTAGTTCATCTAACCGAATAAAATCTCCGTTCCATCGAATTCCCCCAAGACCTACTCAACCCTCCGCCCTCTTCTCAAATAGTCAGTCTCAAATTGACTCGAAATGCAAATCTCCACTGAATATGATATCACCTCCCATCATCTCCATCACCACACATTCACCGAATCCCGTATTTCGCGCTCTCATCGCATCAATAGAGCTTAATAATCCCCCGACTGTCGTCCGTCAGAAGAAAAGTGATAGAAAAAAGAAGTCTCCCCATAAATCGCTGAACAAAAAAACAACCCCTCCATAAACCTTAATGAGAGGCTCGAAAAAAAATTCCAATCGATGAAAAATAAAGGAGCCCTAATGCCTCAAACGACTCTCAGTGGACTTGATCCTCAGAAAAATTCTTTGACGCACATAATTGGTAATTCACCCGTTGAGATCGTTGGAACAGTAAACTTGACGCGATAGTTGACAAAAAAAGCATCACCAAAGGGAATAAAACGCGAAAAAACCCCTTCGAGTGGAAAATTCTCCAGTCAAACGTGAGGGAAGTCAACGCTACTGTAATGGACGTTAATTACCCTGGGCTTCGGGTTTAAGAGCCAGCATTGTCGATCCATCAAGGTGCTGAAAAAAAAACTGGGTCTCTTTTTTTCGGGACATTTGAAATTTTCCAAGTTGAGTAACTCGGTAAAGTTCGGGACGAGGGGAAATAAAAGTATTTAAAAAGTGGAAGGGAGAAAAAGGGACGTAAATGTTAACCAGTGATTTATCGGTGGGAAAGAGTACTCGATCAGGGGCTCCTCGACTTGAACGGAAAGGGGGGCCTTGGTCCATGAAAACCACGAGCAGTTTTTCTCGCTTTAGAGGAATTGGCATTGTGCCAATTGGTTGGCTCTCACGTGTAGGCAAAACCAACACTCATTGTTGTGCCTCTCACAATTTCCGTATCCACTCTTTATTGTTTAAGTTTTCAATTATGATTGAGTGCACTCAGAGAAATGACGTGTTTGAGTCGAATAAAGCATTTTTAAATCGATAAACTCAGGTTTTTTACAGTGAAAATTTATTCTGAGTGAAGGATTATTCGTTTTTCTTTGTATTATAAAAATCCAAATCGACTTTTGGTGATAAAAATTAAGACTCCGAAATTAAGGGTCGCAAGGGTCGTGAGGGTCACGAGGGTTATAATGAGGATCAGATTAAGGATTCAAATAAGGGTCACAAGGGTCAGATTAAGGGTCATGGGGGTCATATGGGCTTTTGTTTTTAAATTAATAAGCTCATGTTTATTTCAATGAGAATCCTTTAATTCAGCGAAATAAATAATTTATGAAATTCAAGCGAAGAATTATTCATCTAGAACTCATGAAGTCTTCATTTGCATCGAGAAAACATTTCCGCGTATTTAAAAAAAACTATTAATTTCCACTCGAGCTGAATTTCAATTCAGAAAATGGACATTCATACGAATTACACAATTTGAAATCACTCGCGCATGAAATTGCAATTTTCCACAAAACAATGCTTCCATACGAGGCTAAAAACATCCTGACGTTTGTTAAGCAAACATGAGCATTTACACCGTGCCTTCCATTACTTTATTAACAGTAATCGAGGCTGGTTTCATGTTTATTTGAGTGATGTTTTGCAAGTGGAAATTTCAATGAATTTCCACGTACGACTGACGGGGAAAAAATTCATTAAAACCAGTCACTCATGCATATGAACTACGTTTTACATTTTTATCGTCAAATATTAACAGGGGGAAATGCTGAATAACGATGGAGTCAATTGGCATTCAAGGGAAGGTGAAAGGGTCCCATCAAACGACAATTTTTGTCAAAAACATTCTAGTTTTATTAGATTGAATTGTCTCGGAGCTGTTCGATTCCACTGGGGAAACTTTGGTATTGGGGAATGAAATTCAGGGGATATTATTGATGGAGGAAGTGGAATAAGTTAACGTGAATGAAAGTTTTCAATTTTTTCTTCTTCTTCTTCTTCTTCAGAAAGACAGTTTGAATTCCTCTTATTCCAGGAACCTCATTACAATTTATAATGCCTTGGATGTTCAGCGCGGAGTTACCGAAAAAATTCTCACGTTCCCATTCCCCAGATCAACTCGTACAATCGGGAAAAAAGGGTTGGGAGAGGGAAATATAGGGAACATGAATGGGGAATTTCTGGAATGACTTATTGGCTGCCGAAATACTTCGATACTTTTCCAATCTCTGATGGGCAATCCCTGGGATTTCACCGCGGGCATAAGAAAAAATGAGAGGTTGGACATGCATGTGGGTCAGACATTCGAAGTCATTGGCATAGTTTGGCGGTGAGAGAGGGGAGGGAAAAAGAGATCTGAATGAGAACAGAAAAATTGATATTCTGATACTCGACATTTTGCCGATATTTTGTATTTTAGATTTTTTGCGAGGAATTGTGAAGGAGAACTTGTATTGAAAATTAGTCGTGAAAGTACTTCAGTAAAAATCATAATATTTGTGTGTGAAATTGATGAATTTATGGATTTTTGCCAATTAAAATGTCTAATTATGACAAATTAACGATTCATTCATTTAAAATAAATTCTTCATTTAGATTAAATAATCAATTTCTCTGGGCATGGTAATTCTGCAATTAATGTGAAAAAACGAGGATTCCATATGCATATGGGTCAAACATTCAAAGTCATTGGCATAGTTTGGCATCGAATGAGGGGAGGAAAAAGGAGATGGGAATGAGAACGGAAAAATTGACATTCTGGTGCTCGACATTTTGCCGATATTTCGTGTTTTAGTTTTTTTCCTTTGACTCATTGCGGAGGGATTCGATAATTGGGTGGGATTGAGTCCTTAATTGGATAATTAACTGGAAAATTTTATGAGGAGATGTCAATGGAGTAATTTTAAAGGAGAATTTGTTTTGAAAATTAGTCGCGAAAGGACTTCAGTAAAAATCACAATATTTTTGCGTGAAATTGGTTCATGGATTTTTTAGAAATTAAAATATTTAATTATATGAAATTACCGATTCATTCATTTAAAATAAATTCTTTATTCAGACTAAATAATTAATTTCTCAGGGATTCAATAATTGGGGGAATGAATTCCTTAATTGGATAATTAACTAGAAAATTTCATGGAAAAATCCAAATGAGTAATTTCAAAGACGAATTTGCATTCAAAATTAGCCCAGAAAATTTTTCAGTAAAAATCGCAGTATTTTTGCGGAGTTTTTCTGCATTATTCTACTTTTCCCTAGTCATTCTATTCATGAAATCCCTAAACTCATTTTTTTAACTAAAATGTTTAATTACATGAAATATAATTCTTTCAATTCGAAACAAATCCTTTATTCGGATTAAATAATCAATTCTCTGGGCGCATCTACCCTCAACATCTTTCATCATCAAAATAATTCCCCAATTCCCAAGAAAAAAATGAGGATTGAACACGTATATGGGTCAAACATCCGAAGCCCTTGGCATAGTTCGAGATCGAACAGAAGAGCTGAAAAAAAAATCGAGAAACGAGAACAGAAAAATCTCGATGCTGACAACTGTTCGACAACCACCATTTCCTAGTCATTTCGGTCTTTACCAGCCGGAAATTGCTTTGATGGCATGCAAATCAGACCAGACATTCTCACAGTAGCGTCTCAAACAAAGAAAATGCTGGATGAAGATTTCATTGAAGTCCCCGTCACTGTCACCCCCGCCCCCCGGGAGATTTCAACTCTGTGGGAAAAAGAAATCCAGATAAATTAAAAAACAAGTCCTGAGTAAAAACTCCTGCGAACTATCATCCATTTAAGCTTCAAACTTGGTCGGTTGTTTTCAATTTACGAGAAACTCTAAGTGATACGTATTTTTGCTGGCATTGGAAAAGCCGATATTGGGTTGAAGTCAATAATTCCTTGGGTCCATTCTTTATTCAACTGCCAGCAAATAGTTGCTCCACTTTTTAAACTCCAACATGGGAATCATTTCGAGTTGTCCGCGACCACTTCAACCGAGAGCTATTTTTTCTTTTTACGACTCGAGATATTGGAGTGTATTTATGAAATACTTGGGGGAGGGATAATAACTGTGCTCGAGTTGGGGTATCGGGAGAACATAATTTGGGGGAGAATGTCGGTAGATTATTTTGGGCGATTGAGAATTATTGCGAGCAAGCATTACAATTTTTTTCATTTTCACTGAATTTTGAGGAATTTCGCTATTGAAAATTTAATTCAATTATTCCATAAAAAATCATAGGTATTAAAAACAATTAAGGGTATCCAAGTATATTGACTATCTTTTTCTATTTATGTACACGTTTTTCTATTCTTGTAGTCGAACCTCAGAGCTTTTATTTGACCCCAAGTTTCCGATAAAAATATTTTACAATCATTTTA